ACAGTCAAAGGAGTCGATACATGGACCATATACTATATCGCAATAGTTGAAATTAGATAAAACTAGTTGATCACACAGTTTCTTCTTTAAATCAAAAGACAGAAATTGTCGACTTGAGTACAGCAATTTAAGACACCCGTAAGCACGCTGAATAGATTTGCTGACGTGTTCCGAGAATTTCAAATTAGAGTCAATAATTAAACCTAAGTTTTTGGTTGCTGATACTAGTGTTAAAGTGACACCTCCTATGACTATGTTGATATCATTCTTCACACGATTAATTCGACATTCATTGCCAAATAATAAATAAGTGGATTTTGTGGGATTAATATGAAGATTATGTTGCTTAGAGAGGTTGATAATTCTTTGTAAATCTTTGTTGACGAAATAGTTAGCTAAATAGGCATCTTCGGGATAAAAACTATAATATAATTGGCTATCATCAGCATAGAAGTGGCTTCTACAATCTGAAAGGCAATTAGATAATTCAGCAGTATATATAAGGAATAAAAGTGGTCCCAGAATCGATCCCTGAGGTACACCATTATGTAATCTGAGTGATTGAGATTCGCTATTGTGATATGGCGAACGATTCTTAAGATTATGATCCGATTCGAATCAAAATTGGTATCTGTATCATTGTACATTTCTGTACGTCGAATTGACGTTCTCGAATGTACGTCTGCAAGACGTCTTTTATATTCCCTGAGAATAATCACGTCCAAGATGTACGCCTTCAAAATGTACATATTTGTTCGTCTTGAAAACGTACACAAACTGACGTTTTTGAGGCGTATTTAATACGTTCTTAGACACAAAGCCGTGAAATGTGCATCTTCAAGACGTCTGGTGCTGATTGGGAGAGACAATACATTTCTACCCTCTTTCCATCCTCCATCCTCAAATCTACCATGAACCCCATTGCCTGTCTATCCTCTGACTGGGCATGCTGTTGTAGAAATAGCCGGCTTGTGACGTCAGCCATCTCGATTTAACCATATCGCTGCCTTTCTCGGCTATCATCATCGCCGGAGCATTCGTATTGCCAGATGTTACTTTTGGCATGATGCTGGTGTCCATTACTCTTAATCGGTCTATACCGTATACCTGGAAATCAAAATAATAGTTCGAAAAACTGAAAAAGAATTGAAATTTCACTATTTGTGTTCTACACATACTGAGAATTGTTCTCTTGTTTTAGTTTGCCTGTCTGGCCGTGATTTTTTAGTTTGTTCGAAGTAGTATGTATGACTTTCAAATTCTTCAGTTCGGCTTATTTTGAAACCATGTTTTTTTGTTCATCTCTAACTCTCATGAACAGGGTGTTTCTCAAGTACGTGTGAAAAATTCAGGAGCATGTTGCTGACGTCTAAATAAGAAGAAAAGTTCGAAAAAACATATGTCCGAAAGTTACGAACTTTTCTTTTTATTCAGACGGCAGCAATATGCTCCTGAATTTCTTCACGTACCAAAGAAACACCCTGTATACCTGCTTCCTTCATACGAGTACTTGGTGCAAGACACTATACCGTCGCTCTGGATATCACTATTTCATTTACGAGAACTTATTCATACCGTGTCTCTGGATGTGAAAAAAATCGCTCATCCTGAAGATTCTGATCAGGACAACGAAAAATTGAAAGAGAATAGACTATGCTGTTACCATCGGTCCTAGACAAGTTTGCGAAGTTTCCTTTCAATTCAATGTTTTGAAGTAGGTCATATGAATGTGAATTGAGAAGTTGCCAACAGATGAAAAACATCCGAATATTTATTCTCTTATCACACGGAACTTCGTGCCAATTGTTCTCACAGATTGACGTTACTGACAACTTCGAAAGAGGACATTCAGCGAGTCCTCATATGGTCCAAGAGTCGGCTACGAATTTCGACCGTCATCTGTTGACGAAATTATATATGTTCCGAAGGCATTTTGAACCATCGGAGTTCATCGAACGGCACCTGTGCCAATCACTATCCTGAGCAAAATGATTGAAAAATTGCACTTTTCTTCACCGAAATTTGCACTCGATTTCGCTATTTGATAATCAGATAGAAATTATGCCATTGGATAACAATCGAACTATAGATTTCTGAAACCTAGATGAGCAACTCCCCAGTCTGAGCCAAATTCACTACACAGCGAGGTATTTGCTGTTATCATTCCTGACATTTGCCCGTCAAGTGAAATGAGACGCAAATGGAAGGGGATGATGTCTTTGCGAATATCCGAACGTGCTGCGATACAAACTGAAATTAACTGAAGTTAGTAGCTCAGCGTCAATACTTTCAAGAGTATTTCGTTCCCCTCTAAAGATAATATCCCATGGACCAGTGTCAAACTCAACATGTGGATTTGAATCCTTTCAGTGTGAGCACCACATGGGTTTCAGACTGTTCCATCAGATACTACATTGCGAAGACGGCGAAATATTCACAGAAATATTGACGCTCAGCCAATAACTATGATAGATTTGTATCGCAGCACGGATGGATATCCGCAAAAGGAACATTTTGCCTCTTTATCTGCTTTTTGTTAGAACTCGTTATTACATGACAAAAGCAAAACCTACTATTCTTTGACGGGAAAATAGAAGAAAATGAATCGCTGTGCCATGAATTTGGCTCAGACTGAGGAGTAGCACAGGCAGGTTTAGTAGTCCATACCATTCAATTGGTATCGGATGGCATAATTCATTTTTCAATGTAGGTCGGAGGGTGATGTGTGAAATCAACGGTGCATTTTTCTTTGTGTGAACACATCTGGGTAATCGGGTGATATGTGGTGAAGGTACTTAAAAAAGCTAATGATTTCTCGGTAAGTTGAGGCATTTATCGATTTTCATTGAACTCGATGGAGGACAACGTTTAGGTATACGGAATGCCTATTATAAGTGGCTCATCCTCGAATTCAATATTCTATCACATAGTTTCGAAAAATTGAGAATGAAAAATCACGAACGATAAGATTTCCACGAAGTTCTTAATCACAGGACATGTTTCGCTAACACGGTAGCTGCTTCAGGTGAACCTCTGATGGTACAATGTACTGAACTTACATTGACTTGCCTCACTTTCATACCCTTTTTTCCAAACCTGAAGGACTTGAATCACCTGAAAAGGTGAGATGAACATTGAAATTTGATGTATCAGATCAGATTCAAGTGATTGATAGCGAATATATAATATTACCTACTGATGAGAAAACAAATTCAACAGCAGTGAATTATTGAGGTCTAATTTGTTGTTAGTGAACTGTTAGAATTTTGGCGTTTGTTGATTCCTACAGATTTCGAATGATAAGATTTTATTCCTGCATTTTATACGTGTAAACTTCCGGAATTATCATCAAAACTATGGTCTTCTCCTAATATATGGTTCGCGTATGTTAAATTTGTTTGTTTTCAAACAATCATCTTATTTCCATCGATTATGTTCACGAATGTTTCAAAAAAGGAAACAAAATCAACAAACGCGAACCATTTGAAGGAAGAGAACCATAGTTTCGATGAAATTGTGGAAATACTAGAAGTAGAAAATGAAGGAATGTGATTCAATCATTTGGATTTGACAGAACTCAACAAACGCTAAAATTCTAACATCATATACTCAAAGGTTAGATCGACCATTCCAGGAAGAAAATGGCGATTTCATTGCTTCAATTTGAAGACAAGCAAAATTTGTGAGGTAAGTACATACATTAAAAAATCACTTCTCATGATAGCAGATTGAAATTGAACTACATTTCATTCCCAGTTTCAAGGAGAAGATTCATTAGATCCATTTGAGAGAATCTGCTGTTCCATTGATTTAAAAAACAGAATTTTGAAAAAAATTCCAATATCATCATCACACGAAATACCAAACAGAATTATCATAGAGAAAGAGAAATTGATTGCAGAGCTTCGTGAGAGAATTGAAAATTTGAGATCTAAACTGAGGAAATCGAGTAAATATTGATAGTTATAATAAGATACGAAACGCATTTTGAAATCATCCGAGTACGGCAGCCAGAAGACGAAGTTGCGTGGTCCCGCTAGGCGCTTGTTATTGTGAATGAAGTAATACCAAGTGACAACGGTAATAATCTGGGATTGTTAACTCAACAGGATGATTCATCCCCCATAGTTACATCAATCAATGCCACAAATTTGCCGTCAAGCCGTTCACATGACTTTAGCTGATTGGTGCACCTATACACGTCAATGTTTGACAATGACAGATTGACAGATATTTCGGATTTCATCCAATTCGATATCAGACATCATTTGTCTTGATATTCGATATTCTCTGGCGGATTGGAGGAGGTGTATAGGAATTTCACCAGATATCAATGTTGAGGTAGAATTATTTCAAATTATTCTGGAATCATAGGTAGTTCAACCTTCAACAACGGTTGAAAACAATTCGTTTTTTTTAGATATTGTTTTGTGAGAATAGAGTCAGTGGAAAATATTCTATTGAACTCTCGGGTAGCTATTTCAGATTTATTCACTGTTTGAATATAGGAAAGCAACAGTTCCAATGAGGGGAAGATCCCCTTTTGGCAAACGAAATTGGTGCAAAATTCTGTATCCTACAGTCTAGAATGGTTCCCTCCAAGTGTAGTAGTCAATCCAATATGTTTCTGAAGGATCTCCATAATCCGTGAAAAACTGCAAAAATTTCAATAAATAAAATATATAAGTTCACAACAAAATTTTGGGATGAGAAGTTTGAAGAAATTGAAATAGTCAATGGTTGGCGTGACGTCATGTCGTTCACCCTTTTGATTGGTTAGGGCCGGATAGACCATCCTGTTGAATTAACAATCCTTCGGTAATAATCACCTGTAGCTCAGGGTTCACAACTGCCATTGGATCTGTACTTGGTCCCATTTTTGCGGTGCCACACTGATGGTTTTCTGGTCCAGTCTGTCTCTTTGCCGCACATTCCCAGTAGTTATCAGACCCAAACGGAAGATTTTCGCAACCTCTCACTGGACTTCTGTCTAGTTGGATGCCATATTGTCGCAAGGCTATAAAATATTGATCATGTGAAAATCAATTGAATGAATATTCACCAGGAATTTGACAAAAACTCTCCTGATGAAAAAAAATATATTCATTAGTATATTACGTAATATGTATTGTGTGAAGCATATTACGCACGAACGGAAAAGTTACGCACGTAGCCGCGGAGCGGCGAGTGCGTTTTTCCATTGAGATTTAATGATGAGTTCCATGAGATATATTTCGATGATCCACATTTCAATTCTGTGTAATCAGCCAGATATCTTTCATTGCTCTATCCATGCGATTGAATCTTTTCATTCCAGCTAAGGTCTTGCCTATATTCATATACTCTTCAAAATATGAGGAATTGTATGATTAGTTATACTTATTTCCCTGTTCTGTGATTGGGTTCAACCTGTTGAACAGTGTAACATTGAATAACTGAATAAATAAATAAATATCTAGTACAAGAGATGTAGATGATTCGGAAATTGATAGGAGCAATGAGACTCAGTTCAAAAAAAATAAGCAGAAAGATAAGCGAAGTAAACCACTAACTGCCTCTGACATTGAGGCATGAAAACTTTCACGCCATGAGGCAAACATCAATGAAAATACGAAGGAATGTTTAAATGGTTTGAGGATAATTTCAGAAAATTATGATAAATACAATGATCCAACTGTAAGAAACACATTTGCAGATGAATATTTTCCTCATCATTTTCGAGTGAAGTCGAGTTGAAAATATTGATGCACTCACATCTCATGCATAACGTTGCCAATTTTCAAACCATACTGGCTATTAAAAAATCAAATCCTGTTTTCTCACTAAACAATCTCATGAAAGAGCGTGAAATAGAAAAATCATGATGAGAATATTACTTCAACTTTTGTGCATTTTTTTCAATTTCCACTACGCCTCATTACAATGTTAATATGCATAATATCTGAGATGTAACAATATTCTCAAATTGATTTCACTTGATAATAATACATCGGATCGTCACGGAACAGGAGTACTTTTTTACTGTGAAGAGGTGTGAAATTTCATAATCCGAGATTATATTTTTGAAAAATAGGCATACAAAAAATGTTGAGCAATATTCGATGTAGTCTCACCCTATATTATACACTCCTGATTGAAATTTCGAAATGATTTTATTCTCACTGTATCGAGCTTGGCAATTCTTGTAGCAAATTGCATCTTATTATTACATAGAGTTTCGGAAATACTTGGGGAATCTCATCTTCAGGAGCCTCCATTCTGGGAGCGTAGCTTCCTCAGGAGACATTTCTCGACTCATTTCCATAGAGAGTTTTCTTTCTTGGTTGTGAAAGCCGCTGGTGAAGTTTGGCAAGCAATTTTAGGACCCCCTGTATATACCCCAGGTATTTTTTACTCTGTAGGTGTATATTATTTCATTTCAGGCAAAGTCACCTCACATATCAAAGTAATTCCTACTTTTTCTTGCGAATTGATTCAACTTTTCAGTTTTCACTCACCTGTAGTTTCCGATAACTTCAAAGCTATTTTTATTCCTTCTACCACAACTTTCACGTCATCTGGATGCGTATAGTAATTGGCATAAATCAACGGGTGGCTAAGAGGGTTGGAATCCCTGAGTCGAAGAGACCCTGAAATGAAGCAGATCATACAAATTTTCCAAATTTCAGAATATTATACAGTGTGCTCGAGATGAGGATGATCACCATGTGTTCTCGGTTACCGTGAGAGCTACACAACAGGTCAAATCGACAAAAGGCAAGAACAGCAATTTATGTAAAATAATACTAAAGCTCTGCCCGAGCCAGATTTCAGAGGCTTGACCTGACGCGCATGTTTATAAAATTTGAGCCCGATCCGCGACATGACACTCATGTTCACTCTAACTCGGCTCGCGTGACCACTTGGCCCGAGCCATAGATGATTATACAGCATGCTGTAGATAGGACACTCATATGGGCATGTTGTGATCTCATATTTGGTTTCTTCCAAACGGACAGAATGAGCTGAGGTCAAATGTCAAACCACAGAAATTCGGGCGTGATGAAGTTTTGTTCATTTTCTCTTATGTTGTTTGTTGTGAGTCGAAGAGCTTGTCTCAATATTTCAAATTTGATCTTCAATAGTGAATAGTGATTTCAGAAGTGTTCTTCTTCGAACCATAGACAATTTTACAGTTTGGACGAGGTTTGTGTGTTGCGATGGTAGCTATTTACTGTACAGTACATGGGTGTTGGGGTTCTTCGGGAAGTAAACACGCCTTCTCAATCAACATACAGACATGAACCGATTTATGGAATGGCTCAGACGTTGTGGCAATAAAAAATTTGCAGTGAGCACTTCGAAAGAGCTGATTTCATATCTAATGGGAGATTGTTGCAGAATTCATTTCCCAAGCTTTTACTTCCTGGGGCAGTAAGTTTAGAATAAGGTAGAAGTTGTTCATGTCATTCAAATATTTTAGTCACAACATTGAATAGCTTATTATGATGAAGGCAGGAGTGAACAAAACGAAGAATGATAAATCTGAAGAACCATCATGTTCCCTGCAGGCGTCTGAGTCAATTTCAAGTACCTCAAGAGTACTAGAGCCATTGGAAGAGGAATTGACATCAGACTCCAATTTCAACCTAGTTAGTCCCAAAGAAGTGTTATCAGTAAGTGAATTCTGAACATTTCGTTCACATCAATGTTTTATCTTATTTCAAAATGAATGATGAAGGTACATCACTTATTGAACATTGAATTTATTTTCAGGAAGAAGTAAACCTCAAAAGTTGGTGTTACTCGTTAAAATGACCTCACACTCAAAGCTAAGTATCTATATAGGACAGAATGTGATCTCAAGCAGCAAATGGGGAGTCTTAAGAGAAGGAAGAACGACTGAGATCAGCTGAAAGTTTTTCTGGGTGCATAGAAAATACTTATTTTTCTTGTCACAAATTGAAGAAGGTCATAAGAAACCTAGAGAACCACTTTTTTCTAAAGAAGATAAACTATTAGCACTGGCCTTATGCAATCGAAGTGGTGGTGCATATAAATATTCATCTTCAGTTTTCACTTCGCCATCACAAAAAACACTCAAACGATTCCTTGATGCAGTACCAATAAAATCAGGATTTATATATGTATTCTGAATAAATTCGTGACCATTTATTAGTTGTCTTTTATTTTCAATAACCATCGGCCTCGGCCTGCTCAGACTTTCACACCAAGAGAAATGTCTATAAGCTATTATACGAAACTGTAGAACCTCCAGAAAATTTCTGAATTGAATTGGCGCCAGCAAAGATGCCTTTTTAGTGTAATCAAGTCCATCAATTCAAAAAAATCATATACTTGTGAAACAACACTTATATGATAATGGAATAACGCTTATTTAATGGTGAAATGATAAGCTTTTCAATATTGAATAATAATTGTATAAAAATGAAATAATACTCCTATCAATATAATTTTCTTTCAATTTGATAGTCAAATAATTAGCATGTTAGTATCAAGGTGATCAATTTTTTTCCGGAATGATAAAGTGGGTTGAAGATCGTCGGGAAATATTCAAGACCTATCTACTCAGTACAGGGGGGGCAAAATTGGGCGTTTTCACCGTCTATCTCAATAACTAGAGGAGTTATCGAAAAACCGATATACATGTTCCGGGTTCGATTTTGGAAAAACCTTGAATGGTACAATCAAAATTTCGATATCTTCATTCGTTTTAGAGATACAGGGGCAAATTGAAAATTTGCCGATTTTGATTTTATTTTCTGACTACTTTACGGTGAGAGGTTTCAAAAAATTTCAAACGTATGATGCGTGGAATCCATTGGCATCATCAGAAATTTTATACAGGGTGACGTTAAGAAAATGCGGCAGCCAATTATGTTTTTTCTAATGGAACACCCCGTATATTTTGACACAGTTGAATAGTCCCAGGCGTTCTCATTACAAATATATACACTGTGTCCATAAAGTCACCCCCCCCTGGTTAACTATTAAACGGATAGGATTTTTTTTTTCAATTTTCTTTTGCTTCAATGGCAGTTTCAGTGCTACATATTGTTTCAAAAAAAAAATATGTATTCTTCAAAATGGCGCCTCTATACAACCTCAGAATCTCAGACGAAAATATTCATCCAAAACAAAATGGCGGATGATAACGTTTGAAATCTCACACCAGAATTCTTTCGACTAGATGACTATTAAAGTGCTCGCATGAGTTATGTCGTTGAACCAGCCGCTCGCAACCCGAAGATGCAGATGCTGCAGTTTACCCGACTCGACAAAATTCAGTCGATATGCATTTCCAGGTTTCTCACATATTCATGTCATTCAACTAATTCATTCTGATTGTAAGGTTCATACGAATCGGTTGTGTTAAATAAAAAGTAAATCTTGTTTTTTAAAAACGTTCTTCGTTTTCCAAAAAACTTAAGTGGCGCAGTCGGTAGGATACTCGAAGGCATCTATCGTAGATATCCTTGGGTATCAACTCTTCATCGAGAAGAACCAGTGATCGAGAAGTACCAGAGAAGCCGTCCATCGAGGATCCAGTAACTCTTGGCACCCATCGAAGAAGAATGAAAAATTGGAACTTCATGTAAGTCACTCATTGATTCCTCATATTCATTTGTCATTTCCTTATGTCATTGATTTCCTCTGATCCTGAATCCGAATCAGAAATTACTAGTGGTATCAGTGCGGAACTAGAAGAAACTCTTAGTCAATCTTTGCAATCCTTGAACCTTAACAATCAGTCTCAATCGGAATCAATCAAAAAATCTATAGAATTAATCTCATTAAACATGCCAAACCCACCAAACGTATTCGATATGAAACTACTACAAATTGTTCCTGAATTCGATGGAAATCCCTGTAGACTCTACAGGTACCTCCAAACGGTCAGTGATTTATTGAATGAATATTACGATGTACGGCCAGGATTTGAAAATTGTTCGCAAAACAAAATTTTACTACATAGTGTACTTTCCAAGCTCACCGGGCCGGCCGAAGAAGTATTCTCTCTTAGTGGCACTTATAATTGGCCAACCATTAAAGACTTGTTGATCACACATTTCGGTGATCAGAGAAACGAAAGCAGTTTAATTTCTGATTTAGGCTCACTTAGACAAAATTCCAATGAAAATTCCTTACAGTTTTATTCTCGAGTACAGACAACCCTCAATTTACTTCACAATTACATAAACTTGCACGAAAATAATGATGAAATAAAAAGAAGCAAAAAAGCTTTGTATGATTCACATGCACTGCACATTTTACTTGTCGGTCTGAGAGAACCTCAGAGCTCGATGATTCGTTCAATGAAACCAAATAATCTAGCCGAAGCACAAAAATATATTATTGAAGACAACAATATTAGATATTCACAGAAATCTCATTCTAGCTTTGCTCCGAGACCTCAAATGAATAAACCACGAGCCCAAGTACCACAAAATTATTTCCAAAATCATTCAAGATCATCTTTCCAAAATAATGCCCATAATTTCAATGCTACTAGACCGCAATTTCCAGTTCAGAATTTCAATCAATCACAATTTTCGTCTCAACAAAATTTTAATCAACCCCAATTTCCTAGGGGCCCAATCCAAATTCAACCCAGACAAAACGCACCAACACAAAAATATTTCACGAACAGCCAAGTATTCGGAAAACCTCGTAATGTTTGGAAAAATCCTCCACAAGGCAGTTCATCTAATTTTAAACCTACCCCTATGAGCGGTATAACAAAGACACAAAATTTTACTAGAAACACTAACCCCCAACCCTATAATCATTTCCAACGGGACCCTAATCAAAAAATGAATTTTATTGCTGAAGAAGTTTACAATGTTGATTCCTACGAAAGTGACCAAACATACCCTTATGAACAACACTATGACGAAACAAATCCAACATATGAATTAGACGATAACTCACAGTTTGACGACGAAACTAGCCAAAATTTTCACGAAACGACACAAGAACTAGAGGAGACATAATTGAATTGAATACAATATACGACAAAAAAGAACTTCCCTTTATCAAAATCATTAACCCACCTATTAAATTACTGATTGACACCGGAGCTACAAAATCATTTTTGAATCCGGATGTTGCCGAAAAATATTACAAAGATACAATTTTCAAAGAACCATTTGTTGTCAAATCAGTTTTCCAACAGTCTCGACGTGACTTATGTGCTAATATACCTCCATTTAACGAATTTAATTATCATGAACCACTTAAATTTCATTTATTCAAATTTCACCAATACTTTGATGGACTGATAGGTCTAGATATCTTGAAACAACTAGAAGCTCAAATCGATCTCTCAAATTCAATTCTCTTTACACCATCCTCTCAAAATGAAATTCAGTATTATGAATCCAAGCAAAAAGTTTTGTTCTTTGTCGAATTAGAAGCCGGCACGGGAATAAAAATCAAAATCCCTGTGAATCAATCATCCGGAGATATAATCGTACCCCCTGTAAAAATCAATAATTGCCTTATAAGAGAAACCCTAACCACCGCGAATAACGGTTACGCATGGGTAGAACTTGAAAATCCGAACGATTATAATTGTCAAATTCACTTATTTGAACCAGTGAAATCGAATCTGTTTTTCCACGAGACT